ACCGATCCATCGGTGATGGGGCTGCCTCGGTTTAGATTCTGGGACAATCGTCTCACTTGTCTTATCAATAGGATCCTGCGCTAACCCCCTGCTCCACCAGGCATTGACGTCCAGGCTGAGCTACGCGCAAAGACTGGCAGTCCCAATCTGGGGCCGACGAGAGCCCCAGTGTCTGCACAAAACTCCCCCAACCAGCCACCCCTACAGCAGCGTGCTATCCTGAACAGACAGCAACAAAGACGCTCGCTCCAGGGACCTCCCAAGTCAGATGGCTCCAACGGGCTGCCTCGAATACAGCCTGACGGTCCCATCCAGCGTTCACCACTATCGCAGCCTACCCCCGGCTCGCACCTGTCTTCACCTGCCCAATCAACCACTCGTTCGCCCAACTTTATGCCTCATGGCCAATCCGTGTCTCCCAACTTTGGGCCTATGCCTCCACAGCAGCAACCTCTACGGCCTCTGCCACCTAGGTCAAACTTTGCTCCGATGATGCCAGGTCCTCAGAGACCATCGCTAATCACAAACCAACCCCAATCCAATGGCCTATCCAATGCCTCTACCGTGGGTAACAGCGGTAGCGGAATAACGCAAAGCAGTGGTCCAACCTCGTACTATCAGACTCAATTCACGGACCACATGAGTCAACTTGGCAAGCTGACCCCTTTCTTTTTCCCTCTCTTAGGGATAGGACTTTGAAATCCTAGGCTGATTTTGTCTTTGTAGAGCAGGAGTACGAGGAACAAGCCGACTCATACGATCACGACGAGCCAAGCGATCAGTCTGCTGGCCCTGGACCATTCCCCCAGCAGAACTTTCCCGCCACGAACAACATGCCACCCCCAATGGCTCCTTCTCAGAATCCTTCGTTTACGACGCCAACTTCGCTGGCACCCAACGATGGCGCGCATGTCTTCAACAATATGAACAACCAACTTTTCGATCCCTACGACCCGATGTTGGACGCCGACCCATTTGGGCTGTCGGCCTCGATGCACTTCCCAACCATGTACGAGTCTAGATGACGAATGATGGCACATCTCTGTGTATACCAAAAAAAACACGACGGACATCGTCAATTTTTTTTTTCATTTCCTTTGGAATGACGGAACCTCACGACTCAAGATTATGTTTATATTGCTGTTTAGCGGGCGCAATGAAATTACGCGAAAACTGTCGGCTTTGGCCAATTGGTTGGCATTTGCACAGGTCGCGGCATCGACCTGCGACGACCAAGTCACGACGAATATTATTAAAAGTTATTATTTGGATTTCCTCAACTGGGGTTGGACTTGCGGTCCTGATGGGGAAGAAGGGATGACTTGTCTTGGAAGCACAGACAGTCAGAAAGTTCGTCATGTGTATTTTTCTAGTGGCACAGGCTTTGTGGCCTATCTCGTAGACAGAGTGCCGCACTGTATTGCACTGTACAATTCTAATACGGATTCGACGTGGAACTTACCATAGCCCCCCCTCCTGTGTTGTGATTAGCCCGGCCATAGAAGGACTGCATTCACCATCCTGCCTGGATCAGCAATGCAGCACTACCTGTGTGAGGGCTGGCAGCGTCATCGCAAGCTAGAGCAGACAGGCAGGATCCCGTGTTGTCTTTGTGCCTCGAATCCTGGTGGGGCACGGACGGCTACTGGATTGACTAAGCGAACACAAAACCAAAATCCACCAAAACTCTGCCCGCCAACCTCACGTCCGACTACCCCGTGTTCGAGCCATAATCTGAGAGCCACGTCCCTAAATCCGTAGGGCCGCTCTCGCATCCTTTCTTCTCCACCCGGCAGGTTGCGCATCTAGAAGGCAAAGCGCGAAAGGCGCTCTAGACCGGCAAGATGTCAACAATTGCTTCCAAGGTGAGCTCCAGCAGCCCCCCCCCGCTTCTTGACCATTCGATCTCCGCGCTCAATGGGAAGAGGCAGTTGCATATGCGACTTGCACTTGTTTCTTCAAAGTCACAGGCTAATGTTTCCACCATAGAATATCTACGAACTACTGGGTATGTTGCGGTCGTCGCGATACCCCTCCTCCCAGCACCGCTCACCAATTCCACAGGCAACGACCCCGAGCTCGACCCCGACAGGCCAGCTGACCCACCGACGAAGGCCATTGACAAGCCTGTTCACAGGACCGGCAAGCGCGATGGTAGTGACGCCCGAGCTCTTCCTGAGCGACCAGCCAACCAGAGTCGCCCCAAGCAGACTGACAACGCCAACGAGAACGGTACGTGAGGGAACAGCATACTTGTTGCAGATGCACACTATGCATCGAGTACACTCGAGAATCAAACCTGACGGGATGTAGCTTTCCAGGACCGTGGTGTAGGCGCAGACAAGAACCGCAGCCGTGGTTCAGGTGGTGAGTTTGCAACCATTGCCTGTCAATTTTATCTTCTAACATGCTTTAGAACCCACCTCTGCAGGTCGTGGCGGCGAGCGCGGTCGTGGCCGTGGTCGTGGCGGACGCGGAGGCCGTGGAGGTGCTCGCAATGACGACCGTCACAGCAGGACTGGCATCTCGTAAGAACTTCGAATATCAATGCAAAAAAGAAACTCTTGCTGACTTTTGCGCAGTGACCATGAGAAGCAGGTCGCCCACGGCTGGGGTGGAAACGACGGCAACGCCGAGTTGGCCGACGAGCAGGCTGGCGAAGAGATGGCCAAGGCCGAAGAGAACGACGCTGTCGCTGAAGACGCCGAGGCCCAGAACAACCCCGAGCCCGAGCCCGAAGACAGGAGCAAGTCCTACGCTGCCTACCTTGCCGAGAAGGCCGAGAAGGCCTCTCTCGCCGCCCAGAATGTCCGCAAGGCCAACGAGGGTAGCAGCGTGAAGTTCCCTGAGGGAACCGCTCTCTCTCGCCAAGAGCAAGATGACTTCATGGCAGCCGCCGCAGGTAAGGCCAAGCGCGAACGCGCCCGCAAGGAGAAGATCCATGTCGAGCTTGACGGTGACCGTATGCTCGCCCCTCCTCCTCGTGAAGGTGGCAGCCGAGGTGGCCGTGGCGGCCGTGGCGACTTCCGCGGCGAAGGACGTGGCCGCGGTGAAGGCCGTGGCGAATTCCGTGGGCGTGGCCGTGGAGGCGAGGCTCGCGGCCGCGGCGAGGGTCGTGGACGTGGTGGTGAGGGACGTGGACGTGGAGAGGGCCGTGGCCGTGGAGGCCGCGGTGGTGCTCCATCCGGTGCCAACATCAACATTGCCGACTCCAGCGCTTTCCCCAGCCTGGGCGCATAGAGCCCTTCGACTTTAGGTCGACCACCAGGCACGACTGAAACGTAGTCTGTGTCTATATCCCAGACAATTGCGGGACGAAACTAGAAGGAATGAACAAAGTAGCCATCTCACGAACGGAACGAACTGAATTGAGGAGCCTAGCACGATATAAGGATGACCAATTTAAAAAAAGTGGATGGGCGGCGGGTTTTCTCAAACAAGATCATTCTTCCATTTCTTGGTCTCTGATCTTCTCTCTCTCTCTCCTTTTCCCTCCTCTCCGATTGTCCCTATTGTCTGTGTCTTTGATTCCCCTGTTCATTCGACCTTTGTTGGCACCCAAGGCTTGTGTATGTCGGCCCAAAAATGCAAAACTTTTGAATCTAATCGAATTGTGACCACCCTCCCCCGCCCTTTTTCCGGCTTATTCTCTGGCACTCGAGTGGTGACTATTTGGCCGTGCTTTACCCGATTGAACGACCAATTATGTACATGTTTTGTGTGACACATGTGATGATATGTCATGTGGAGAGTGGAGAATTGTATGATTCCTAGTTGGACTGATCGGTATTTTTTCTATTTTTCTTTCTCTTTTTAGGTGTTTCTCTCATTTCTTCAAAGTACCCTGGTTTCTCCGCCTTGGTTGGGGATATGGTCTAGTTCTTGGTATTGGATGGGAAAGGAAGGAAAGGAAAGGAGAAGAAAGGGAAGAAAATGCAGTCAGTTCCAATTACCTACTCATTCATACTCGGCATGTCCAACGCTTTAATCACCGAGATGAACTAACTACGACTATTAAGCTCTACATTTACACGTCAGCTCCTCCTCCTCCTCCTATTCATCCTACGCATCTTCTTCTTCCTTCGACCCCGACTCCGTATCCTCCTTCACCCTCAACCGCAAAACCTCTCCCCCGCGAAACTGCAGCGCAGACGAACAAGCTTCTTTGCAGGTGTGACAGACGATTAGGGTGCAGGCGGAGCATCCGTATGCGAGACTGGAGGGGGAAGGGAGGGTGGCGAGGATGGATGGGGTGGTGGGTTTGCAGTGGGTCGTGACGGGGGGTGAAATTGCGGGAGAGGTGGGAGGTGGATATATGGGTAAGTGGTATGCGGGGTTTTGGGGTATTTGCTGTGAGATGGTACTGCTGGTACTGGTGCTGATATACCGATGTATTCTCCATCCTGCCCACATGCGATTCCGCGCCCTCGAGCACTGGACAACGGCGATACTGAGAGTGGCGACGACGCCACACTTGTAAAACCGAGGCCCGAGCCCACCGAGATACCATATGCAATGCACGAAAACCCCGGCATTTCGCAGTCCGACGTCGATCGTCTTTGGTTGAGGCGCTGAATAGCATGGCCCCTTGCCTCTAGCCTTGTGCGCCCTGCCACGGGTATCTGGGATGATGGCGCCGAGGTGCAATGGGGAATGAAGTCCGGGTAAGTACTGCTCCAGCATTTCGAGCACTTCATGCCCGCCGAGGCGCCGTTGTTGGCGAGGGCGCTGGCGAAGCGGACTGTGTGGGGGTGGAAGGTGTGCTTGCAGTTCCAGGAGGGGCCGAGGATGTCGTCGCCGGGCTCGTCGCCAAAGTCTACGGTTTGGTCCTCGCAGTATTTGTGGGAGCCGCGGTCGAGATTGGGGGGTTGGACGGGTGGTTGGATGGTAGGGTTGGGGGTTGTGGATGGGTCTGGTGGCATGTCTTCGTAGTGGACTGCAAAGGGTAGTATCGGAGGCCCCTCACCGAAGCTGCACCGAGGGGTTTACTGTCC